ACATAATGTTCTTGGATCACTCTTCCTTTTAGTTGGAACCGTTTTCTCAAAAAGAAATCGATAGTCCTAGGTTTAAACCCAAAATTTTAAAACCTAAAGACCAAAAATGCTTTTTTCTTTATGCTTGTTCCATTGTTTATTTCTTTGTGTGCTCATTGTCTTACTTGTGCTAAAAGCTTATGAATTTATAAGCATTTGTCTTTCCTTTTTCATTTGCAAATCTTTGATTTTTCACTATTTTTTCTTGATTTATTATATGTGATTTTATTCTTAGGTGATTTTTGTGATGGTGAAGAGATATTCTAAAAGTTAGTAAAGAGAAGATTTTTTAGAGATTTGGCAGAGGGGAACCATAAACCATCTCCTTTTGAGTAGGCCATTTGGAGTATAGCGTTGAAGATCACTTGGCCAATGTTGATGGATTTTCGCATTATGATGGCATAAATAAGGATTGCTCACTCCTATGTAACATCGTTAATACATGTAGATAGGAACATCTTTGCTGTTATAAAGTAAAACCACACCTTTATATCCTTTTTCATCACATTGGCTTTGAAGGATATCAATTCACCCTTTGATAGCTTTTATTGTGCACTTTCCTCACAAAGCACTCAGATAATTTCATTCAAGATGATTGCCTAAATATAGCTCGTAACCATCATTCTCAATATCAAGAGCTTCGTAGAAAGCATTGATGGCTTAGCTATGAAAAGCCATCTATTTACCTCACACGAAAGCAACATCATCATTATGTTTAAAAGCATTAGCATAAAATTTCCTTACCATTGGAATGATGACGGACTCCAGCTGGACATAGAATTTCTTTCATTGCCTTTCTTCAATATGAGATTTTTTAAAGATTTGGCAAAAGGGGAAGGGTTGATTACCATGGCACCAAAGAAAAGGGCACGTGCGAGGGAAAATATGAATAGTTTTGATTGAAGAAAATTTATTTCGGTTGAAGACGAGAAGCACCACATTCAATTCTATTACAAAAAGTTCTAGTTTTAGAATATGGCACTGATGTCTAAAGAGGACTCTATCCCTACATCAACAATATTATCGACACACTTCAATGGGAGAAATTTGGTGCCCAACCAGAAGTAACAGTAATGCCTATTATTTGAGAATTATATGCCAATGCTGCCAAACATGATGATGGGTGAGCATTCGTTTGAGGACGTTAGGTACCTTTCGATGCTCACACAATTAATAATTTTATAATACACTTGATATTGAGAACAAGGAGCATGGACAATTCATGAATGGTGATGTTGATTTGGATGAAGTTTTGCGGTACTTTATCATTTTGGGTACTAAATGGAAATTGCATAAAGGTTGTTCCAATTTCCTTCAAAGCTAATGCCATGGTCAATGACTACAAAGTGTGGTATCATTTCTTAGCCGCAAAGATGCTTTTTGGGAAACACTTGAACGATGTGATAAAGGATTGAGCAGTCTTCCTATACGCGTTTTGATCGAGAAATCTATTGACATTGGGCAATTGATCTTCAAAAACATTATCTTGTTAGCCCGATGGCCACATGATAAAGTGTGGTGTTCACCCTTGATCACTGCCTTCTGTCATCAAATAAGAGTTGTTTGGTCACCTAATGAAGAGCTATTACATTCGAAGATTCCAGTGGATGGTTGGATCAACAGGTTTCACATGCATGAACAAACCATTATTGGAGGAAGCTCATCTGCTGCACCTCAACCGCCACGGCATTTGCAAAATCTCTCCATGCCTCAATGAATGGAACGGCTTATGCGTTGCTTAGACCATCAAGCAGATTATTTAAAAGCCATTGAAAAGATGATGAGGGCATATGCTGAGCATGTTAGCATGGACATGGCTACCTTCCCCACATTGCCCATTAATCCCACCTGGAATGAGAATGGTGACGCTACTGCTACGAAGGATAAGGATTGACGATGTTTGCAAGTTTAAGGGAGTATTCTCTTTCTTTATTTTTAGGAAAACTAAGGACAATGTTCACTTTTAAGTTTAGGGGGAATTTTATATTTTATTTCATTATATCGTATTTATGTTTAAACAAGTCAATTTGCATGATAGGATTAGGAACGTGTTGAAAGATTAAGTTAGAATTTGTGCATCAATAAAAATTGGTTTATCTATCCGATGATGAAAACCAGTTACCTTGTTATTCTTTTTACTCTAACAAGCATAAATATTGTTGTAGTGTTATGTGAAATTCTTATGCATATCATCATTTTAGAATGTGAATTCTATATTTGAGCACCATGTTTCTTATTCTATTTCATGATTTACATTTAAAAAATAATTATGTGAGTGTGAATCTTTAAACTATATTTATAATTTTAGAATTTGTCTGATCCTTCCTTGAGGTGAAATTCTAGGTGACACTTAGCTAGGAAATGACTTAGACCACCTTTGGATTGATTGGGCCTTTCAAGCTAACCTAGTCAAATTTTATTCCTAGTACACCTTTTTGAACCTAAATCTATCTTTTTCTTCATCAACAATAACTAAATTATCCTAGCTTGCAAATAAATTTCCAATTCTATTACCTTCACTCCTAAGCGTGTACATTGTTTTAGGAATTATATATAGATCAAATGTTAAAAAAGTAGAAAGGATGAGTTGAGAAAAATTCCAACCAAGATGTGAAGTATTCATTCTACTAACATCGAAGAAAACAAGTTTGGGGGATGTTGAATTGTGAATAAAAAAAATGCTTGATGAATAAAAAGTGAAAAGAAGGAAAAATGTGTACTTGGTGAAGGAAGATAAGGTTATGTAGATCCTAGAATAATTATTTGCTTAGGGTGATTTAAACTTTAATATATCCCATATCATCCCTTAACCCTAGCTGAACATTATAAGATGAATAAAGTCCTAAGCATCCATAGCTAAGTGATGGCCTACATCAGTAAAGAAAGAGGTCAAAAACAAACATATGAACTTTTAAGCTCGTTGAGATTTGTATGAACATAATATTTTATGAAGTGCATGATGTTCATTGTAAAAAAATGAGCATACACTTGGATGAAACATGAACTTAGATAATATCCATGTTTTATTTTGAGCTTAATTAGAAGACAAGGTAATTTATAAGGAAATTAGAGATGATCAATGAATTGGTGCATTTTCATAGTTGATGTCTTCTACTACATTGTTTCATTTTAGTTTTTTCTCAAAGACTAGCAAAACATTTTGAGATATTAATGTAGCTAAGTCCATGTGTTTTAATTAAGTAGTTTTTAAATAGCCTTTATGTTTTTAGTTAACTAGTTTAAAGCACGTGAACTTAGTTTAATTCAAGTAATTTTAGTTTATTTTCATGTTGAAAGCCCTATTTTAAGCCAATGCCGATTTAGTTCTTGTGTTTGTAGGTTTTCGAATCACATAAAGTTAAATGGTGATGAACTTTGTAATGGAGATTAAGTGCATATTTTCACTAAATATATTGAGGTAATTCAAACATAAGTCGAGCTAAAAAGATCCAATTAATGTGATTCTTGAACCATAGGAAATTTAAAAGGCAGACCTACAACTTTTCTATTACCATTTTACCCAGATCAATCTTGAGATAAGATTGTGTTTCAAGATGAGGCATTGCAATAAATTGCACCAAGGCAGCACAAGCAGTAGTGCCACAGCCTTGCAAAGCTCAAGGCCGCAACGCCCAGGTAAAGTATCATGGCTTCCATACTAAAATCCGAGAGTCCAACACCACTGTGCCCAAGGAGGAGCGTTGTAGCACCAGATGAGAAACCAACAAAAAAATATTTAAGGTAGGAGCAACACGACACTCGTAAACCAAGGTCGCGGGGCTTTGACATGGATTATTAAAGTGCAACCAATTAGGAAATCAGTTTTTAGGGTTGTTTAGAGTCTATAAATAGGTGATTTTTGATTGCTGAAAGAGGAGACTAAGAGAGGCAATGAGCGGCAGTTTTTGAGAGAAAAGAATACGCTCTCTAATGAAAGAAACGAAAAGAAATTGAAGGCAACCGAAGATCAAGAATCAAAAGAGGTTTTGATATTTCTTTACTCTTCAATTCTTTCTTGCTCTTTTGCTGTAGAATGATTTTTTGTCTGGAATTAATTATGTTTGCTGTAGAAACAATGATAAACTAAATTTATTTTCTAAGATTATGGGTTATTTTTTTATGTTATTTGAACATATGATTTGTCCTTGCTTAGTTTTAATGGATGATGCGTAGTTTATTCAATTCTGTACTTATTGCTTTTCACTCCTTGATCACTAGTTAAAATATCTTGGATCTCTGAATGCAACTTGATAAAAGGAGTTTAGAATAAATTATTGTTTTGAATAGCCTATATTTGGTTCACTTCTAAGTTAGGTGATAGTTTCGTGTTTAGGATAAACATATACCTAAATACCTTGGGCAGCCATAACAAGAATGTAATGAACCTTTTCTAATTAGTTTTGGAAATATACGTATGCACAATCTCGACAGAAACTTGTACTTAATATGGATTTTAGGTTAATTATGTATCCCATTACTCTAAGTTAAGGAGAATGATTTAATTCAAGTAAAAAATTGAATAATACCATAATCCTTGGTTTTGAATTAATATTTCTCTTAGTGAAATTTTATTCTTCGTTACTAATTAGTTAATTAATCATTTTTAGTTTAAATAATCATTTGAAATCTAGTATTTAGATAAGATTAACTTTGTTATAAATTTAATACTTGCCGACAAATAAGTACAAATCTCTATGAAAACCAATACTCAACTTACTTTTATATGATTTGTATAACCACGTGCACTTTCATGTAGTAATCCGACAACAAAGATATATAATAAAATTTTAACTTCTCATTGATGAAGAAAAGGTGTTGCTAAAAAAAACTGAAATAAGATGACAGTTCAACTTATTTTAAAAACTTATTGTACCATGCATAGATATAGAAATTGCATGCTTAGGGAAAATAGGGAGACACCAAAGATTTATTTATTCTATTTAATGTGTCAGCCTTGATGCTCATGCGGCTTGGAGCTTAATGGGAAGACCATCCTCTGGAATGGGTGAAGGACTATAGAAAATCTTCTCATTGGGATTCAGTTTCTCCCATTTGAATCTGGTGACCAGGTTGTGTATGAAAGTGAGGATTTCCAGTCGGGCATACTCCTTCCCAGGGCACATACGAGGACCTCCACCAAATGGAACAAATGTGTAGGGTGCGGGACCATTTCCTTCAAACCTTGAAGGATCAAACTTCTCTGGATCCGGGAAGTACTTGGGGTTCTTGTTTGTTGAATGGACAGTCCAGAAGGCCTGAAGCAAATGAAGAAAACAAATAAGGGTATGGGAAAGTACTGACCAAAATCTTGAGAATGACATCATCATTTTTGCAATGGAAACGCAGTTTTATTACCTTCCATCCCTTTGGAATCGTATAACCTGCGTAAGTAAAGTCGGTGATGGCCTCTCTAAAAGCTCCATTAGCAGGTGGTGCCAGCCTCATCGCTTCGCATACTACGCACCACGTGTACTTCATCTTCTGAATATCTTCCCATCCCAATGGTTCTCCAGGCCCTTTGGACCGTAAGATATCCTTTTGTTCTGCAATTAACCCAAAAAGATGAAACATTAATTAATTGCCGGCATAGAAATTTGAAATATATTGGTAATTGGCAGGAGTCGACGAGTCACCTGCGCTAAAATCTAAATAATGACTGACTAATTTGCATACCTTCCAACACCCTGTTATATACGTCAGGATAGTCAGAAAGATAGCTAACGGTGAAGGTGATTGCGGTACTTGTTGTGTCATGGCTTGCAATAAAGAAGCCTACAATCTTGTTGCCGATCTCTATCTCAGTCATACCGTCCATCAGCATGCAGTCCACTATGTCTGAAGCAGCCAGCATTCCTTTCTTTAACAGCTCGTTTTTCTTCTTGGTAATAAAGGCTAAAAGCTCTCGGCGGATCACTTTGCCTGCTTTCACGGCGCGATTGAATGTTGTTCCAGGAAGATCAATGGGTACGGAAATGAGACCAGCAGTCGCAAAAGCGAAAGGCTTGGCAAAATTTTCGATCTCTTCCCTATGTTGAACACTCATGAATAGACGACAGGCGAGCGAGAAGCCGTACTTCTTGGAAAGTGGGGAAACTTGGACTTGATTATAGGGGGACCAATATTGGTCTAGGTGCTCCTTTGCCATGATATCCATTACTGGTACGTAACGTTGAAGTGACTCTGGCTTGAGAAAAGGAAGCAGATATGTCCGAAGAATAGTGGATTCTTCTTCCGAAGAATTATCAACACTGGATGGATCCAACAAAGCCTTCTTCATGGAACGAGGCCACCAGGCGGTGACATATTTGTTTTGGCCAGAGAAGAGGAACTTGTTGCCAGCAGCACCGCAAAAGACAGCCCATGTCCTCTCCGAGCAATGATGTACGGAACACATCGGATGAATATTTGGCTCTTCTGTCATTTATGAATTTCACAGGAGTTCCCCGTCTCAAACCCAGCACATAATCCAAAGTTTCGCCAACGTATGGGAGACCCTTTCTACCTGGAGGAAGGTTGGGGGTGGCGGCCCTGGATTTGTACTTATAAACCAAGTAGATGACACCAACGGGCACGTACAAAACTACAAAGTGGACTAGGTATGGCATCAAAAAAGCAATGTCCATGTCTGCTTAATTAATCTTTCACCTTACCTTTGCTAATTTAATTAACAAAGGTGTTACACACTGGAGTGGCGAATGAGCCCAGAATCACCTACAAAATATATATAAGGAGGAACTAATGGATATTCATCTCACATCTGGTTGCCATATTTATAGTCAATTGCCCACGGATTGAGTTAGTATAACAAACGAAAGTTTTATCAGCTTTCAAATTTTGACAAAGTTGGCAAAACATTGTTTGATTCGGAATTTTAACAGCTGTCAAATTTTGCAACTTGTTTCCACACTAAGTTGTTACTTTTTACAGCACACGAGTAATTAGTTCATTAGTTGATATATAATCCTCTGCTTAAAGAGTAAGGTTCAAATCTTCTCTCTCTCAATTATAAAAAAAGAAATTATTACTTTTGCAACTTGTAGTTTATTAGAATTTTATCTCATGTCCTGACACGAGATTCTTGATTTAGAAGTGATAAATGTGCTTGATTTTATATCTTTAATATTTCTTTTGGATCCTTTTCCCTTTTGCTTATCTTAATAATAATTTAGTATAATGGTCAATTTTGCACGTTAATGCATTATTAATATATTTTTATTATATTTATGAGCATTATACTAATAATAATTAGAATATGTTCATGTTGCATGCTTCATGAATTATTAATATAGTTTTTATATAATACCAATGAATGACATATTAGAGTACGTAAAACTTGATAAAGTTAAGAAAATTATAAGGTTGGTAAAGTCTATAATAGATCTTTCTGTTCAAATGTACAATATGAGCTTATATTTTAAGGGTTAATTACGCTTTCAGTTCTAAATACTTGCATGTTATTCACTTTCAAGTTTAAACAATAAAGTTATATACAATAAGTCCTTTCATTGTTTATATTTAATTCAATAACAAAGTATAATTTCTGTACACTATCATGCCATCATAAAATTTAATTACATAAAAAAGAAAACAATATTTAGTTCTCTTTCAACTCTCTATCACATGATATCCCGCAACGACACCACATTGGGAGGCTACTTTCCTATAGTCCTCCGCAAAGATTTGTTTCCCCATTGATGTGCTAATTTTGTATTGATATGTTGTTTGATTGTATGGTTACTTTTAGTTGCATTCATGGTTCTTCATGATTTGCCAGCTCTCTTTTCTGAGTTAAAATGCATTTTAATGCAATGTAGTAGAATACCAAAATGACCATTGTTGCAATATTCTGTGTTTTGGAAGAAATTATTGTATTAATTGTGCAAGATACAAATTTTGATAAAACTATTGCGGATCTTGTTATTGTTAATGCTGATAATTCAAAGGATAGAATCTGAGATTATTTTTAATGCCAAGAAAAGGGGTTGTTTTAATAATGCTGATGACGACAAGCTTTTGGCTCAAGCTATTACTATTACATTGGTTAATGTCACGGCCAGACCATGATTGACACGAGCATCGAGCAGGTAAGTTTATTGAGTCTAAACAAGCCTTAGAACTTGATAATAGGCATACAGAACATTTATAACCTATGTACATGTTTATAAACAAACCATATCATATGCTCTGTGCCTCAACACGAAGCTCAAATGTGCTACACATGCTTAATCCTATATATACATATACATACATACATACATGTATATATGCTTTACACAATCAGTAAAACAAAATACATATACAAAGTGTGCTAGATATATGGATAGCGAAGTGGACCTGTCGAAAAAGAGATGCCAATTAGATGCCACTAGTAACCTATCGGCTTAGAGGTTGGAGCCTTTCTCCAAATACAAAGGACTTGACAAGCAACAAATTTGAAAACACAACAAAATTATTGAGGTGTGATAACTCTATTATATGGAGTTATTTTGTCATATTTTGATAGCTTAAATAGCTAAGTCTTTGAGATTTTAAGTTTGAAATTAAGTATTTTCGTTATTTTTCTTAATTAAGTTCAATTGCATGTTGATTAATTTAGTTTAAGTTACTTTAGTTTAATTTTACGTTAAATTGCCTTAAATTACTTTAATTTTAGTTGTTGTTAATCTATTTGATTGCTTTCATATGAAAATTGATGAAAAGGCCTTATTTGGTGAGAACCGTGAAGTATGGTTAATGCTTTTTTTGCACATGTTTTAGTATTTTAAGCATATCTTTCAATTCATAATTCCAAATGATGTGATGTTTAGACCATTAGAAAGATAAAAGATAGGGTTACAACTTTCATGTTTACCACTTTACCTAGTTTGGCCTGGAAGGAGGTGAAATTGTGTCACAATATGAAGTAATGCAGTAGAGACAACATAATAGAGGAGCACCATAGTGCCACTCGACATTAGGGTGTTGCGGAGCCCGACGAGTCACCAAAAATCTATTTTTTATGGGATTTTGGAAACTATGGCTTTTAGAGCCTATTTAAAGGATCTTTTCAGAGGTTTTGAAGGAAGGAGGCAGCAAGTAATTTCTCTTAAAAAAAAGAGCCAAAAACAAAGCAAGAAAGCAAGACAATTTGAAAGAGAATCAATATCACAAAGCTTCAACTATTAGTTTTCTCTATCTACTTTTGTGTTTTTCTTATTTTCTTTGACTTGGATTAATGACTAATTTTCTTTGGATGAAGTTTTTGTTAGATGCTATGAGCTAAACTATTTTTCTAAGATTATGGTGGATTTCAATATGTAATTTGAATATTTGTTTCTCTTTTATTTACTATGAATGGATATAGTTTTACTTATTCAAATTTTCTTTTAATGCTTTTAATTATCTAGCTAACAATTAACTGATTTACGAATCTAATTAAGGCTCGACTGAGAGATTTTAGATTGAATTAAGGTTTGAATAGTGTATGTTTATGTTACTTAGGTAGTCTGATTCATAATTCAAATAGGCATACGCTAATTGCAATGCATAGTCACATTAGAACACTAGCTTAATGTACCTTATTTAATTGATTCCTATAGACATATAGTGACTCAATTAAGCTAGGTATTTGTGCAAGTATCTTGAAGAAGACTTATATATAGCTTTGGATTCTAGGTTAGTAAAACCACCTATGAATGTAAATAATAAGAGAAGCTAGTAGTAGATGAAGTATTGAATGAACCTATAATCCTAGGTTTTTATCTATTACCTTTTTCTAGTGAATTTTTAGTTTTTATTCAATAGTTTAGTGTTTCCTTAAATTGAGTTTTAATTAATTTTCTAAAACATCAAGTTACTTGAATAAGATTATTTGTTATAATTTCAGTACTTAGTGAAGAATTATGAGCAAATCCATGTGAGATACGATTCTAGACTTACTTTCTATATTGCTTGTTCAATATGTATACTTTCGTGTGTAAAATTGACAAGTTTTTTACGCCATTGCTAGAGATTTGTGTTTTCTATTTATTTTGCTAATATTAATATTCACAGATAATCTTAATTCAAGTTTTTTTTCTTTCATTTTCAGATACTTTTGGTTGAGGTGATTAATTATTATAACTATCAATGACTATCTAAACAATTAGAGCCTAGGAGGGTTGCTAGTGATTATGAATTAGCTATCAATGCTTTGACTGCCCAAGTAAATGTTTTATCTCAAAGAATTGATACTAGGGGTATTAATGTTTATTAGAGTCCTTTTGTGATATGCGAGTTTTGTGGAGATGGGCATTTAAACGATTATTGTCCAGCCTATTATGAATCAATGCCATTTGATGAAAACTTCAATGGGTGGCAAAACAATTCATACTCCAACAGTTACAACTCCGAGTGGATTTACTGTTGTTGGGTTCTCATGCTAATGCACGTATTATTAAATATAGTGATAAAGTAAAGTATCGTTTTCACAGAGAATTGTTTTAATTCATATTTTTAAGTACTAAAATGGACACAACCTAATCTTATCCAAATAATTACAATTAAAATTAATGCTAATAAACTAAAAGTGAAACTAATCTAAAATTTATTAGTAAGTTATTAAATTCGAGTGACGAACAGACCTAAGATTATAATGTCCCTTAATAATTCATTTGATTATTGTCTTTCTTTCTTAACTTAGTTTAATAGATTAAGTTACTAACCTAAAGTCTTAGTTTATTTACAAGTCTCTGTTGAGTTTTTCATAAAAATATTTTTCTCAATTAACTTACTATATGTGTATATAAATTAAATTAAAAAAAAAGTCATTACGTTCATGCTCTAATTTTAGTTACGTATGGCTTATAAATGTATGTTTACCCTCTATCCAAATCAAACCACTTAATTAACTAAGTGCATTCAATCATATACTATTCTATTCAAGGTCTACCTAAATCTCCTTCGTCAAGGTTTAACTTAAGTTTCCAATTCAATCTAATTGGTGGCCAATCAATCAGAAGCTTTAAGCATAAAATAAAATAAATAACTTAAATCCATCAAGTGTAAGCAAAAGAGAAAAATAAATCAAACTACGTATTAAGTTTAATCATAATCTTAGATAAATAATTTAGTTCCCCATCAAGCCACACATTATCATCAAATTAAGTTTAAACATTAAAATCAACTAAGAAAATAAAAGAATGACAAAAAGATAATAGAACCCAAGAACTGTAATCTTGATCTTCCAAATCTTCTTGAATCCCTTAACATCTTCTCAACTTCAATGACTTTGTGGCTTGATTCTCAACTCTTAATCTAGTGTTGCGTTCCTTTCTAAAAATCTTCCAAAAGGTTGTTTTATAGGACTTTGAAGTTAAGTCAAGTTGGGTGAAGAAAGAAATCAATTCCAACTAGGAATTCCTTATCAGACTACATAAGCTGCGGCCTACCTCCACTAAAGCTGTGGCCTCAACCAAATTAATTAGCAGAAATCATAATTACTCTAGGACTACTGTAGTGCTACAAATTTGACAAGATTTTTAACTATTTTCTAGGCTAACTTGGGTGAAATGGTAAACATAAAAGTTGTATTTTCTTCTCTTATCTTTCTAATGGTTTAAGAATTATCTCATTTTGAGCTCTGTAGAGAGAGTTATAATCAAAA